AATTTTAAAATATCTGCCTTCATGCTTAACATGTTTGAAATGAAAATTTGGGTGAAGATTATTTGAGCTATAAAAAATGGGGTTACAATAATAATAGTAATAAAACGATGCGTGCTACTAGCCGTTGGTTAATAACTTAACGTATAGGTAGTAAGTATTTTGTGTTTAGAAATATTAAAGTGATGAATATTGTAGAAATGTTAATATTGGTATTAGTTTTGGTTTAAATTATGAAATCAGATAACGATTACGCCGGTAAGTTGTCCATATGAGTTGAATTCCAATTGCATCTCTATTAGTAGGCTAACTGAAGGAACAAAAGTATACCGTGGAGATGAATTCCAACTAGTGTTCCAGTTAGTTTGATACGGTTTATTTAGTTACGGGGAGATTTTCTCAACCTCATTTTTACTTGACCGTGATAGAATTTAGTAATACTACTAATACACATGAATGATCAAAACAAAATTTAAATACGTTAGTGATAATTATATGAGTTTTGGACAGATAGCTAGCAACAAATCGTTAAACATGAGTGTATTCGTAAGAGACATGCTCTAGACTCAATGTCCTGATCTGCGGCAGACTATTTATTTATACTTATACTTGCCGGCTGGTGATGCATACAAGTTAGTTGCAAGTACGCAGTTTATCATAAGGCGGAATACGATTTAATTGAGATATAGTGGTTATAAGTTATTGAAATCAGTTAGGCCAATGTGTCATATTACTAGGTGATGTGGTGCTGCAGGATGTATTCGGCTAAATAAGCTTTTACAAGATGATTAACAGTGAGTGATGCTCATGTGATTATCAGGAAGAACACAAGTTGTAACCAAGGGGAGTACACTCCCAACTGACGTCTATGATAATGGCTTGAACCTTAGTCAGTGTTGGGGTAAATTCGACATTGATGTTTTCAGTTTGCTCGACTGCTTATATTAATATTAATATTAATATTAATAATATATTTCTGCATTTGCAGGTACACACCGTTTTTACAGGCATGATCTATAAATTACAACATTTGTTGGTTCGCAAAATGCTTCCCAACTTATTAAGTTTATAGTTGTTATAAAGTGAAATCGTAGAGCGCTTGCTGTAAACTATGACCTTGAGAGGACGCGTACGTCAAGTTTGCATGCATTATTGTGTCGCTAAACCCCCATTGTTAGGTATTTATCCGCGTTAAATATTGAAAATCTATTTTCTGAGTAGTCTCGTGTTCAGCTTTGTGGATTGTGCGGTTACTGTTCAATGCCACTACAGGTTTATAGACTAGATAGCCAAATGAACTTGAAACAGAATCGAAACAAGCAGCTTAAGAAGGTGGTTAAATCTCCTAATGAGTGGGACCTAATATTACATAATGGAGCTTCTGTCTATAAAGACTTGTTGCTCGCAGACCGTGTAAAAAGACAAGGAGCCGAAAAAAACTAAAACTTAGGTTATATGCTTACGAAGAAGACTCAAAGTTTGTAAATTATCGGGTTGCGAGCCTTCAACGGAAAATGATGCCGAAGCTACTATGGGTGCAGCACGAAGTCATTTTAATAGGCTTTGAATGTGTTACACTAATCCCCGAAGCTTGCTCAAATAGCTGTCTGAACTAGATATACAGACTGATCCTACCTAGCCAGATATAATCACAGCCACAGAAATTTGGCTGTTGTAACTTATAGACAGTATACAGCTTGATTTTTAAGGTTTAACGTTAGTAAGAGCAGACAGAATAATAGAACTCGGGTTCCCAATTGAAACAGCTTGAGACGTATTTTAAAATTTATACTCAAACGTTACTGCACCCCACACCCCTTGAACTACCCCAAAGATGCCGAGATACTCTTCATCATGCTGCAGTACTACGGTTCACACGAGAGAAAATATCAATATCGAGAAGCTCGGAATAATTGTTTCTCGACGCCTCGCAAGTCTAGAAGGCTGTACGACAAAAGAATGTTAAAGAATCTATGGAACGCCCTAAACGCTTGTATTCGTATATAAACCAAAGGACTTTAGAAAGAGGAAATATTCCAGCAGCATGGGGAGACAGTAATGCTATGACTTTGGTTAAGCAAGTATTCTCAAACTACTTTGTGAATATATATACCGTAGAAACACCCTTCTCATCAGTTCACGCAAATCCCCCCACACTGGACAATGTGGCCATTAAAAAACTCGATGTCTTTGGTCTGCTAAATAAGCTTGATATAGGCAAATACATGGGACCCGATGAACTACAAACTAGGTTATTAACGGAACTAGCTAACTTCGTTGTGAACCATTTAAGTATATGATTTAATTCATCCATAAATCAGGGTCGTTTACCAAAAGACTGGAAGAACGACAAAGTAAGTCTTGTCTTCAAAAAAGTTACGAGACATAAACCTGAGAACTACTGACCCATCGGTCTAAATACCGTGGTTGTTAAAATTTTAGAAATAATTCGGTAGGATACGTACACGATGAATAACATTGAGCCACCTGTTGTCCAGACACGCAATGACATAAGAATCATCGTTAACCAGGACTTAAAAACTGCTGCACACTGCCATACAATAGCCGCCATATGACCTCATGGTCAATATTAAAGATGCCACAGGTATTCGGGGTTTGATAACGCTTTAACCAGCAACACCTTCTACTATGAACCGTACCCAACAAATGAAATCGGCAGAGGTTCGAAGATATATTTGACAGGCTATCAATATATCGAGGATCGTCTGATCTAATCTGACCAGCGATCACAAGGGTTGTTGAGCACGGCGTTCCTACTCGTGATCTGGTTAGGATTCATGACCGAGCGCCTACGGTTACGTGAGTCCATCAAAACTAATGTGGTTAGCTATTTATTTCGGAGATTTATTTGCCGCTGCAATATGTAGGGCCTCTAGTCATGTCAACGCTAAAACGTTTCTGACTTTGTTCACAGTACGAATACGAGCGACTGACCTCTGCTTTGAAAAACGCAGTGAGCTTTTGAGAACAGAAACTAAGTTGACTCTTGAAATAGCGAAGCCCTCGTATGATGCTCGACTGGCTAAACTAAACCAATTCCCGTTGTCATATCGACGATCAAAAGGTGACCTGATTACAGTATCCAAACCACTCAGTGACAAATTTTCACCATATCTGCCCTCAGTTTCCTGTCTTCTAAAACAGAGAATTTACAAGGACACTCCAAAAAGTCCACTAGTCGAGAACAAATTACTTGTCAGCTGACCATCGACTTTCCCATCGAATCATCGAAGAGTGGAATTCATTACATCAACACGTGATAGATGCTCTATCTATCAACCATTTCAAAATAAAAATTGAGGGACCATCATTGCCAGAACTAACACAAACCAATAAGCCTCCTGTCCTTGCCGAGCCGAAACTGAAACTTTTTGAGCGCTACATTCTTAAATTTAATGACCCTCAAAGTTACCCGCTGTTTTTATCAACAACAGCTGGTGTTGGCACGACTAATTTTGTGTGTTGAACTGATTTAAGACTAAGTGAGTGTTATTATTGATTTTTAGCATTAAATGTATGATAAGTTTTGTGTGAACCTCATATGCTTTCTGAGTAATCGGCCTGTATTTTCTCCTTTCCAGTTTTTCTTACCCACTCTGTTTTGCCCTAATCTCCCAAATTTAGGGGGGGATTTTGGGGGAATCCCTAAGGTCAAATGCTCTTCACCAAGGTCAAAGGAAAATTTTGGGGAAATATTGGGGAGTTCCCCCAGATCTAGGGCAATTTCAGGGTTCTGGTGCCATTTTCTCAAAATTTTCCATAGTTGCTTCCCCAAAATGGTTCAAATTTTCCCCAAAATTGGGAGCTCGATGCACACTCTTCCAGTACTAAAAGTATTTTCAGATCGGCTTCAGACCACAACACTGATCGCAGTCGTGATTAACCAGTCACCCATTTCTGTTTAGTGTAATCATGAGTTCAGGCTTCGAAATGTTACTGATTTACATGAATGGAGTTCAGTATGGCTATTAAGAACGACTAAGTATATGGGACATGCTTGAAAGCAACACTGGTAAGATTTGTATAGGGAGGTAGTGGGATTCAAGGTCAATATAAGTACAAAGTTGTTACGTTTGCGATTTTGTACAACTATAAGTAGCCATCCAAAGTCTCTAAATATTTATAGTGGTTATCTCGTGTACCCAAACCAGCTAGTCCATAATTTCTGCCATCGCGCCGACCAGCAGTCAATTACTTCGTCTGATGCCACGATATGACTTAGCTATCCCCAACTATCTAACAATCTAGTTCTGTAGTAGCAACCATCGGTCATCAAAGCAAGCGGCGGTTGGTTATGCGTAACAGGTTGTAACAGCCTCAGTCGATGAAGGTTTGCAACTCCATCGGTTGATTATCTACCATTGCCTAGTATTCTATCCTTAGCTTCGGCACTGCTCTTTAGGTCTCCACAAAACTGTCAACTCTCGAAAGATACCTCATCTGATTATACTAACGATATCGGATGGCCCGTCAACTGAGCTTATTACACAACAGTCCTCTTGCCTCCAAACTTCGTCCACGAGAAGTAGCTATTTAAAATAGAGGCATGTTGCACAGGAGATTTTCAACCGTAGGAACCTGGGTAAGGGAGTAATTCTTCATCGACTGAAGTAGTCGAGATGTATATTCAGTCAACCTGTGCCTCTATGCACTACGCAGACTAGAATGGGTTGGATGAAAGTTCGAGGTGACCTTATTTATTTTAATGGTATGTAAAGTCATTGATACCTAGTTTGATTCATGTACCCTGCAGAAGTTTGTGGAATTATGATCACGTTCATATTTTTATCAATTACTGATTTGTTATCATCATAATTATATTTACACTATCTGTAGGAATATTGTATCGCTGACTAAAAACACTCAAAAGCTTTTCTTTCATATTTTAAACATCTTACGATACTTACATTCACCGGCTGTATTGTGTATGTGAAAAATCATCCCAAACCATATACATGACTGATAGTTTAAATTGTAAACAAATGGGTGAAGTTTTGGGAGATAACGGAGATGACGTAGTCACTCCATGGGAAGTGTCAACAAATTCAAGCAGCGGCGTGGATTATGATAAGCTAATCGTTCGCTTTGGTTGTTCAAGAATCGACGATGGTTTGCTTCAAAGACTAGCAGACGTTTGTCCCAAGCCTCTACATCACCTACTGAAGCGTCAGATATTTTTTTCTCATAGGTAGGCTGGATAATTTTGAAAAAAACTATGATTAAGGGATTTGGAGCAAATTATCTTACGCATCGAACAAAAAAAGCCATTCTTTTTGTATACCGGAAGAGGTCCATCATCAGAGGCCTTACATCTTGGACACGTTGTCCCATTCATAATAAATAAGTTGTTGTAAATTTTACAGTCTCATTTTTCTAGATGGTTTCAGGACGTTTTTGACGTCCCTCTTGTAATTCAGTTAACTGATGATGAGAAGTTTCTGTGGAAGAACTTGTCTATCTCAGAAGTTAATCATTTAACTCGTGAAAACGCAAAGGATATTATCGCCATGGGTTTTGATCCTAAAAAGACATTTATTTTCAGCAATTTTGAGTACATGGGGTAAGCTTTTATTTGTTTCAACTTCATACAAGCAACTAAAGCTTCCGGCTGTCTAATTATTTAAAATTCATTATACATAAACTTTTATTAATAAAATTCGGAGAGACCAGTTTTAATAAAATTGTAAAAACCATTTTATACATGCATAATATAGCTATCGAAAATGTTTACTGTCAAATAAATTAGGTGTTACTAGAAATATAGGTTTAGATATTTTCTCCTGAGATTTTTAAGGATGGTGGTCCAGTATTAGCAATGAGATTAACCGAGGTCTTAGGTAGAATTTGGGAACTGGACGTCATCCCATCTGACTGGTCTCAATCACTGATTGTGCCAGTCTATAAGAAAGGACAAAAGTCCTCTTGTGACAATCACAGAGGAATCAGTTTGACCAATATAGTGTCTAAAATATTAGCTTCAATAATACTTCGACGCCTAATCAAAGCTCATGAAGAGCAGATTAGAGAAAACCAGGTCGGTTTTCGACCTGGACGTGGTTGTATAGATCAGATATTCACACTACGTCAGGTTCTAGAACACAGACACCCCACAATGGTAGTATTTCTCGACCTTAAGGCGGCATTCGACTCTGTTGATCGTGAGGTTCTATGGCAGTTTTTGTCACTGAAAGGAGTACCAAAGAAGTACATTAACCTTATAAAGGCTCTCTACTCGAACACAACTGGCGAACTGTCATCAGAATTGATTACCTCAAGTGGTGTTCGTCAGGGCTGTCCACTCTCCCCATTCTTGTTCAACTTTGTCATTGACGTACTTTTAGAGATAACACTCTCCTCATCTAAATTTCCATGGGTTGAACTTGTACCGGGAGGTTCACTTGTTGACTTAGAATATGCAGATGACATAGTTTTATTTGGTGAAGACGCTGACAAAATGCAGAGTCTTCTGACCACTCTAAGCAACAATGCAAGCATGTTCGGGATGCGATTCTCTCCCTCGAAATGCAAAATGTTGCTTCAGGATTGGGTTACATCGACACCCGAACTAGTGATAGGGAGTGAAGTAGTTGAGTGTGTCGACCGCTTCACTTATCTTGGAAATCTCATCAGCCCTTGTGGTTTGGTGTGTGACGAAATCTCAGCACGGATACAGAAGGCTCGACTAGCTTTTGCCAACTTGTGTCATTTATGGCGTAGGCGAGATATCCGTCTATCAACCAAAGGACGTGTTTACTGCGCAGCAGTTCGTTCCGTCCTACTTTGTGGCAGTGAAACATGGCCGGTAAGAGTAGAGGATATCCGCAGGCTACTAGTATTTGATCATAGGTGTCTTCGAAACATTGCTCGTATATCATGGGACCATCGAGTAAGTAACACAGTTGTTAGGAAACGAGTACTAGGTAAGGATGGCAAATCAATTGATGAAGTAGTGAAACTTCATCAGTTGAGATGGCTGGGACACGTGTTACGTATGCCCAACCACCGACTGCCTCGACGTGCTATGTTCAGTGGTATAGGAGTAGGTTGGAAGAAATCTAGGGGCGGCCAGACCAAAACATGGTACAAATCCATGAAGTCATTGACAATTGGACTGAGCCATGTTGGTAGGTGTAGACTACCTGGTTGGGGACCGCGAAATGATAGCAACCGATGGTTAGAGACCCTGAATGACATGGCTCAAAATCGTTTGTAATGGCGCAGGTGCATCCACTCTCTGTGTTCTCCCAAATTCTAATCTTCTGAATTCTTAGTATTCTTTTTTCCTCTTTCCAAATTTCTTTCACTGTATTATACTCTTTAAATAACATCTCCAAACCCTAATCTTCCCGATTACTGCTTATACTCTTATTACCTCTACCACTACGGGATTTGAATCGACAAGTGCATCTCTGTGCTAATGTGGTGTGGCAACTCGAACTGATGTACGTGCGTACGAAGTTCTACGTTGTTACTGACTGACTGACTGAGATATTTTCTCATCTTGTCTCACTAATGTGGGAATTGTTTTTCAGTTTAGATTATCTGATGCCATACCACTGATTGCAACACAGCAGCACAATACATTCCCGAAGACAATTTAGCAGTGACACACCATTTTTGTTAGCTTCTATTGTGGGTCCAGTTTGTACCATCAAATTGCTTCATCGATCACATTAACTCACATGGCTTTTCTTTTTAATTATTAAATCCAAGTTCTGAAGCCGGTAGTTAGCCTTTTTAAACTTATTAATATATGTTTGCTATGACCAAAAACATTCAACGTTTCTACGTGCATAAAGTTGGTGAACACCTGGGTTTTCCAAAGATCCTACCGATCCCAAAAGTGCTTGTCTCAAGTACCATTGTATTGTTTCGTTTGGAACAGTTAGGTCCTAAAAACAATTCATACCAACGGACACAGTTTTCCAAACAATCTTCACTTGGACAGATTTTATCATTGAGAATCAGTTATCGATCAGGCTTTTATTCACTATTGTAACGACTAATACTTGTTCAAAACAGATCCAGCTATTGCGTTTGTTGATATGTGACAACTATTTGCAAATTACAGATAAATGTTCAGTGATTCTGAAATCTTGTCCTAGTGTCCAATAAATACTTTGTAGTATAAACTTAATTGTCTGCTTCAAACAGATTCTTAACTAGCAAAATAATTTCGATAGTACACACGTGCTTATTTTTTACTTAAATATTTGATATGTGCATTTAAGTTTCCAGCTAATAATATAATATCTGTTATACAAGTGACCACAATTGAATTTTGTGTCATGAAAATAACGTACACCAATGTCACGAGATTATAAAGTCCTAGATAAGGAAAACCGTTGTCATATTTGATATAAGACCCAAACAGAAGCTTCAATATGTGGTTTTAGAATCCGGTTACAACCAACCAAGAATTGTTAATGTTAGTGGTACATCGGGATAAAAGTAAAGTCATAGGGGAAAGGTTGCTATATAACTACAGATCTCGGTTGTCTGAAATAAATATCTTACTGCCATTACAGTCGGGAGTGTGACATTGTCCTCGGGATAGGAGTCTGCTTCGTTTTGGCATTAATCCTAGCATTTTAGTCAAACAACAATTTTGATGTAAAACCATGATAAAAAACTAATTAGTAGAAAATGTTTCACTCTGTTCATTTTTTCTAAATGTATAAATGGTGATATTTCCTGAAGCGTGCGAACCTTTTGTCAAAAAGCAGTTTTATGACAATTCAAAATTGAACCGGGAATCGAATAACCAGGTCCAAGATTTGTATTTTAAAAGTAATTCAGGGCGTTTTTTAATGATTACTAGGCGATTTATACCTTTATTTATCTATATATATTATTCACTAAGTTTGAAATTCTATCTACATCTGTAGAACATGCCCAGATTTCTATCGTACCATCTGTCAAATACAACGCTTGGTTACATATAATCAGGCTCGTGCGATTTTCGGTTTCAATGACAGTGATTGTATCGGAAAAATATCTTTCCCGGCTATCCAAGCAGCTCCTTCGTTTGCTCAATCGTTTCCAACTGTTTTTGAAAATCTTAAAAAACCAGAGGATGTCAGTTGTTTAATTCCGTGTGCTATTGATCAAGATCCATACTTTAGAATGACTCGAGACGTTGCTCCGCGCCTTGGACTACCTAAACCTTCTCTTATATACTCAGTATTCTTCCCCGCTTTACAAGGAAATCAAACAAAAATGAGTGCAAGCAATCCAAACACATCAGTTTTTCTGACAGACACACCGAAGCAAATTAAAAATAAAGTAAGTATTGAAATCTACTTTAATCGTCGTACCCTAGAGCGATAATCTGTTTTAAGCAAATTTATATCTAATTATTCTTATCTCAGCAGATGCCCACAGTATATGTTGTTTATATCACTATGAATAATTATGTGCATAGTTTTTAAGTATCACCAACATGTTCATCTTGTTTTAGATCAATAAATACGCTTACTCTGGTGGCGGCGACACAATTACTGAACATAGAGAACGTGGAGGAAACTGCGATATTGATGTGTCATACCAGTATTTGAGATTTTTCTTGGAAGACGATCAAAAACTAGAACAAATACGTCAGGTTTGTGCCAGCAAATTAATTCTTTTGAATGTACTTGTTGCATGACATTAGACTTAGTGAAATAAAGTTCAAACTGTCGTAAAATACCCATTTTGTAAATGTGTTCATTTCTTTTTTGCATTCTATACTTATTAAAGTAAATATAAAATTTTTTCTTAGTAGTTGATATGAGCCAAATAAGTATGCGACAAGGTCATTCCATTTAGTTTCCTACTGCTTCAACGTTATAGGACCCCAATCCACATACTAAAATGTAACCAGTTATTATGTAATCACTCACATACAGGATCTGATTTATAGCTATATATGCGAACTTGTGCACATTTTTGGATTAGTCCTATTTAGACATAATTATGTTATCTCTAGCTCTAACTATGGATATGCACTTTTTGAGGGAATAATAATCGTTCTGATATATTAACATGTGTAATTTCTGCAGTCACCGACATTGCAATGTACCTTATCATCATCCCACGCGACGTAAACACGACTGCTTTTTGGCGAGTGAGTGAATTCTGTCACCATACATTTGATTATGATCCTGTAACTAACATTATCATGTCATTCTTAGAGGTGCTGATATTTTTTAGTATACGTGGAGCATACTTACATTTTAAGTACTAATTATTAGCAGAACTAATCAGAATATTATCCTGTCATAGTGCAATGATGTGGGAAATCTATAGCTCAAATGGATGGTTTACGTATTTGTTTGAGCTGAAATATTAATTTTAAAAATTATCACAGTCATTCATCGGTTTTGAGAATGTTATGTTTTCTGAGCTGGATGGTTTAATCATGAGGCATACATTGTCTTTTTCGACATCCTCAAAATTTTAATCCTGGGCTACAAATATTCCCCACTATCTCATTCATCAATATTATCATCAAGTAAAAGTCAGCTTTTTGTATATCTGTTCGCTTTAATGATGTTGTTGGTGGTTTGTTAGTTATCCGACATGTTTCTTTAGGTCATATTTATCAGTTTCATTTCTACAGTAAGGTTTGTGTTTTTTTCTTTAATCATAAAATTTGTGTTTATATTTTTAGGATTATTCCAGTGGCAAACTGTTGACAGGTGAAATCAAAAAGGAGCTTATCACACTGTTGACTGAGTTTGTTACAGAGCACCAGAAAAGACGAGCTGCGATTACTGATGAAGTTCTCAAGAGATTTATGACTCCTCACCCATTGCATCTTCCATTTATTTAGATGTGTTGATTGTGAATAACTACATATCGACCTAGGCAATGTTTGTGAATAAATTTATGGAAAATATTTTTTATATGTTGTATACACATTTTAATGATACTTAACTTTCGGAAATTCTACCAGGTTATCTGTAGTGAATACAAAATTGTATATGCATGTAAATTTTTAGTCTTTTTTAACCTATCAGTGGTACGTTACGTCTTGTTATTTTAATTATTAGAAGTAATCTGTGTAACACCTGTCATTGCTATTGCATCTTTGGACTGATTAATTTGTATGTGAATAACATTGTTTGTGTGCATCTGTAATGGATTACCATTCCATTGGCCTACAAAATTTCTCAGTGATAGAAGTAACTAGTCCTCAAATAAGTAAAATCTAAGACACATTTTCTACATGGCGTATTTAAACTTAGTGAACACATTAAGCGATAGCGTAAAACAGATTTTATTAAGTCTATCCAGTCCTAATACTGAACTAAGCAGAGTATTAATGAGTTTGAGCTGTTATTATATACTTTTAGTAAATTTACTGATGTACAGATCTATTGGGCTAACAAGAACATGATATAGATGCAGAAAGTTACTGGAATTTTTTCACATACGTCCAATCATCTCATCATTCGTACATGTTAAATTAAAGCTCCTATTTTGGATACCATCTTCGGTATTTTTACATCTATGTATAATACAAATGCTATTTATTTGAATAATATTCACAATAATCCCGTCAACTTTTCATTTTATAGTGAATTCATTATTAGGAAAACTCAAATCCCATCAATAACTAAACCGTGAAGCAAGGAAACGGGATACTATTCAATATTATGGTTCACTTTCTTTGAGTATATAATATTTCACTCAAGACATTATACTTTAAAAGATAACATAGTAGAAAGATCGATTTTCTATTACTAAAATGACGAATCAGCAGCTGTAGTCTGGATGAAATTTGGTTTTGACTCGAAACTTAATTAAAATTGAAGATTTGAGGTCAGCTATTACTACCGAAATTTAGTCCATATTTTACCTATTTTAGTGTTCCTTAGATGATTTCCCAAACAGTCAGGAGAATATAGACGTTTTTCTTGTTTAATGTTTGCTCACCAAGTCCCTATTAGAATACAATACCTTTAATCTCATTCCCCACTTGTAAATTGAACTGCAATTGTCATCCTATAAAATACTTGGTGAAATACATTATACAATGTATTATAATGTCTAATCCTGAGAGATATTGTACAATCTTTAAAATGGGATTGCTCTTATAGTGATAAACCCGATTCCAGCGGAAGGACAGTTTTTTTATATTATTAATGCTAAAAAAGCATTAATGTCATCCTCTTAATCCAAGTGACATAGACGTTAATATTGTTCAAATGTGTGGATGATGTTAATGATTACAGTAACTTCGTTTTATGCAATTGGTTCCTTTTATGAATTTAAATAAAACCAGAACGAACACATGCAGAATAATATGAATTCATTATATTTCGTGGTTCCTCATCAGCTACTTACAACCAAATATGTTTTAGAATTTTACATTGAGGTAAGATATAGTGTGGAACGACTGACATAAGTGGATGTAAAGAATTGGAATGACAAAGGTTATCAATAATACCTATATATATATATATATATATATAATGTGATAATTTTAGAGGTAATGGAGGGTTTACATAAGATTCATGAATTTGAAATCTGGTAAGATGGGTTACGTAATAAGTGAATAGGATTTGAAGAGTTCACATTAATCTAAGAGAATCAAGTGAGTGGAAATGTATGAATGAACGCGTGGTTTAAGAATTTGATAATGGAAGATAAATATAGCAAAATAAAACTAATGACCAAAAAACTGCATTACCATGGTAGTAATAGGTTTACTACTGTCTCTTTTTAAATACTTAGATCAGGTTTGAGTTTTTTATCGCGATTGCTTCAACAAAACGGAGAGAAACAGTATTTCTTTGTCTGCTAATAATTTTAAAAGCATGAGTTTCAACGGTATGCCCGGTGTCAAGTAAATACTGAGCTATTGCACTGCTAAGAGCAGTGATTTCGTCTCCTTTGAAGCGTAAGTTTAAGAAGCAGGTTTTCTTTTCCACTCTATCGTACTTTACCTGAGGGTTGGTTTTGGCATATTTCTTGATGGACTTCGCCGGGTATGCATTTTCACGTAGGCAATTTGTGATGAGAGCGATTTCGTCTTTCAGGCATTCCCTTGAGCAGAGTTTGCGTGCGCAGTCAAAAAGGGTTCGTACAATACCCTCTTTGTAACTCATTAGACAGAAACTGTAGTGATTGTTATAAACTCCACTCCAGGTATTTTTGCTCTGAAAGTGCCCTTGTAATGTGCCGTCTGATTCCGATATCTAGGAAATGGAATTTACTTTCTACTTCATGTTCCATAATAAAATCTATATCCTTGTTAGACAGATTGAGTAGGTTCATGGAGTGTTTATGACTGTTGCAGACTCTACTGTAGATATAGTGATGACACACTATATAATGTTATTATTGGTAACCTTTGTCATTCTAATTCTTTACATCCACTTATGTCAGTCGTTCCACACTATATCTTACCTCAATGTAAAATTCTAAAACATATTTGGTTGTAAGTAGCTGATGAGGAACCACGAAATATAATGAATTCATATTATTCTGCATTAATGTTCGTTCTGGCTTTATTTAACTTTATTTCAATCTAATGTTAGCCATTCGTCCAGATAATGATAGTGTAATTTGAATTCCTTCCCATACCTCAATGAACTTAATATGCAACATCTGTAAGGAACAAAATTATTTAAAAGTCAAGAAAAAAGATGATTTCCTGATTTTACGAAAATTTCATTTGTTGCTATCTTTTAGTGTATAGACATGAATTAAAAATGCAACTAACGTTAACTGCTATACAATTTATAAAGTATTAAGAAAATCTCTATAGGGTAACTAAATTAGAAACTAAAAGATACATTAAAAGGTATTTGTGTTATGATAAATCGATGAGGCCTGCAATATAACATGTAAGTTGTGACATTGCGACGGCAAACACAGAAGTAGGCTATAATGGTTGGGAGGGGTAATGTATTGAAGCATATATAGTATGGGATGAATACAAGACCACTAAGCCAAATTTCTGGCGGAAAAGAAACTTTGCATGTGTGCTGTGATTGGATACACTCACGATGTTTAGATGATCGCCTTAAACTAATGTCTTTATTAGTCATAACTGTCATCATGATATTTGTATCTCTAGCCAAAATTTACAAACAATGTTTATTGGGTGGGTTAAACCAACTGGTACATTCGTTTAAAGGTTCGGTTTTATTAGCGTACTTGCTTCATGCTTTTTGTTTATTTACAATATTTAAAGTACAGTGGTCTTGGGTGCCGTTAGAGGTATGAGGGCGGTTATCACTTCCCGGTTGCCCACACCGTGGAAGGGTTCTTCTGGAGGTACCTGAAAAGGAAATTGGATTAGAGGTGGTCTCAGTGACCTGAGGGCGTGACCGCAGTGCCCAAGGGACAACTGCTTGAGGCCGGTCGCGCACGGCCTTTTCGTGGAAGGTTTTCGACGTGTTAGCTCCGTTCTTCAAAGGGCCTTACCGCCGAAGACGGAAATCCGTGAGGTAAGGTGAGGTGTGCATTTTTAGGGTCGACTTTTTCTAACCCCACCCCTCCTTGTGGGAAGGCAGCATCGCTGTCATGCTGGTTATCTGAAGGAAACACCTTACTGCTGTCACACCTCTGTACAGTCAGCAGTACGACTTCGCCTTCGGACCTTGGGTTTGTTGCTTTTAGTCTTACCGCTCTTCAACCGACCTGTCTGACATGGTAGGACCTTGAGGAACGGTTGTTCCAGCCAGTATAGCTCGGTTGCTTCATCACGATAGGCAAGCTCGACCACCACGTCAAAGTAGCAACAACGGTCGGGATTTAAAGTACAATAAGTTGGATTTATAAAACGTTACAAGTGATTCATGTGTCTTCTGTAAAAGATATTTTTCTTTAAGCTATCTGTAAATATGAAATGTTTATAACTGATACGAAATCCACAAATAATTAAAAGTGTAGAATTATTTTTGATTCTCAACTTTGTGTGGAAATTACGACAAATTTGTTCATATATTCACTTCAAACTTCAATAAACAACAAATAAATGTAATTTGACTAGATAATAATTAAATATTTCTTTTGTTTTTATATTATCTGGGCATATTTAACAAAATCTGACTTGAAAAAGAAAATCAAAATAAAAGAAAATATACACAAAAACGTACTAGATTATAACCTTCTTCATTTGAGTAGTAATCTCATATTCATGAAGTTTTCCTCTGTTTTGATTAAATATTTAATTACATTGTAATGACATAAAATAACAAATGATCTTTGTTGCCAACTAATGTACATCTTGATTAATTACTTGCTAAATCTTTATTAACTGCATGAATGTATTGTTAAATCGATGGTTTTATAGAATATCTTAACTCTAAAAACAAACGAAATAAACCAGTTCTATGTTTAAGATATGAAGTAATTTAAATTATCAATAATTTAGCAAATAATATGACAATATATTTTAAACACTTTATTGTCCGTATGTTGAAAGTGAAAAAAAACTTGGATGTCGGTTTAACATTTGAGTAGCTTTTTCTGTTTGTTTTTTAAAATCGGAATGATACAAAATATTAGATTTTAGAATTCTAATTTTCCAGTTTGCCTATTTTCAATATCTTTGATAGTACTAGGTCTTAAGAAATATTTTGTGAATATTCAGTTCACAATACTAAAAATTCCAGAATACGAGCTTAACTCACGAGTTATTATATTCATCACTGATAAATGTACTTCATCTTGTAATGGAACTGATAAGTCTTGTTAATTTGAACGCTTTATTCGGTTTCTAAGCTATTCTGGTAACCCGCAGCTAGAACTACGCAGCGACCTGAACTCGAGAGAAAAGGCGCAAAATAAGCGAAAAACACTACTCCAAAGGTTCATTTTTGTACAGAAAAACACGGGTATTTATAGATGTTAGCATTTGTTAAATCAACATATTTTGGCCAATCCCCTAAAAGATAACGTTTTTATTCATCGTTAATTTCGCTTCTTTGAGACTTTACTACAGCTTCGAACGATTTGGATTAAGTGTCAGTTAATAACTAGTAGTATTATAATCCACAATTAAGAATGAGTATTCGGAACATCACATATCATTAGTTATTTAGGTTGACTATTTTTCATTCAAAGATATCTTAGAAGGTTTACCACCCCTATTCGAAAGTTACTGTACAGGTTATGAACAGTATGAACACCATAACATGACATCTATAAGAAGCTGGAAGAAAGCGATCTAAAATCTTGACAGTTTTTTTATTTTTAGTGATTACTTCACAGTTACGGAACCTGTTGAGGAACACTTTACAATTGGTTATTTAATTTTTCCTGAGATATTTTTTGAGAGCGAATGACTTTGACCAGTGGTTAGTATACTGGGACTGACAATGAATTACTTCAAATCCTACAAATTATAAATAGAACAAAGAGGATAAAAATCACTGCATCATGCAATTTTTTAAGTAGTTGCAATATACTTAAATGACAGGGTTAGGTATTTAAGATTAAATATGAAGGATCCACTATGAACCAACATTTATAATACAATTATTTTATTGCAAATAGTAATTGAGATGAAGTGTTGAGTTTCACATTAATTATTGAAAGACTTGCGTGTATTACATAAACTTCGTCTCTCCTAATCCTAAAAATTAAGAAGAAAATTACCTACGACCTTAAATTTCATGCAATCACTCATATTCAACTTCGTGAATGATAATATCAATTTAGAAAATTGTAAAACGCAGCTATAAATTCTTGTGAATGACTTATAGACGGCTTTCACACTTCAGTTTTATGGTTGTTAAAATACGTATATCTATAGCTCCAAAGAAATTAAAGATCATATCACTAAGCTACACTGCAAACTAACCTAACCAATAGATTTAAATCAGTGGTGAGGAATATTCATAAAGCAATTATTAGATATTATTAATGACCTTAGAAATATGGATTAGCACATTCAATGAAAATCTTGTTTCAACCAATATATTTACCAATTTTCCCCAACAAATCGTTCGAGTGAGTCGCAGACATTTCGGCTATTGATTGATAGAAATGCATATTAGTAATTAAAGCAAATAAATGTCTTGCTGATAAAGTTCTTTTCATTTTGAAATCACGCCTCCGGGCCTTAGAGCGTAAATGAATAGTTACAGTGTGATGCTATAGAGTGAAAAATAAATGAAAACATCAAGCTTTTAGTGGGGTAAAGATAACGTCACAACATTGTGAAACGATTATAACCAGACAAGTAAACAATTGGACGCTTGCTCACTGGTCTATAAGCTAAGTTCCTGCCATACGACTTGAAAATCCTGAGTTCAAACCTCGATGAAACAATGGATAATCAGTGCTGATGTGTCTCCTACAACAAGGAAATAGCTGTTCACTGCGTCCTCACTTTTGGCGGTTGTCTCACTTAGACCATTCTGTTATGTAAGCTATGAAATTCAGTAATTTCTGAAACACCAAATAATAAGTAATGCGGTTGATATGTTTTTAAGTCTGAAATTGACTTTGAAGGGAAGTAAAAAATACGTTTTTGGGAACGGTGTTAATTTGTTTGAATTTAACTATTCATACTACCGTACATCATCAAAATTGAGAATACTTCACCGTTCTTTTATTTTAAAACCTTAAATAAGAAGTAACAAAACTAACAGTACCAATAAATTTATAAATCTCAATATATCAGTGAGTAGAAAAATTGAATTTTCTGACGTTTCGTGACTCACTGTTAGTCATCTCTTCAGAGAACAACTAAATGTTACAGTTATAGAGAGGATTTGCAACTAAGTGAAATATAACATTCTAAGTACAGTTTAATTTATCATTGTAAATTACAAAATTAATACAGTGAACAAATAATAAACGTCCGATATATTTTTTACAGTACACTGAAATACTGGAACAGCTGGCCACTAAAATAATTGTACGTCATCACTATGAGGAGAAAGATAAAAGAAAGGGCATTCATTCGAAAATAAAAAGTGAATAAGAATAATTGAATGAAAATTGTATATAAAAGGAGATACAATTCTGTTTAATACCACCGCTTGATATCATTAATGGACCACTTCCCCACTTTTACCATCTAATGTCAGGGTTGGGAATAAATCACTTATTTGATAGTTCTTAATACATGTCCTAGCTACCAAAGCCGATATTTCAATGTAGTGAAACCAAATGAGTTGTCGTCGCTCTGCTCAAACAAGAACAGCCGAAACTGACAATTAGTGACACGCATTTACTACTAGATATCAGAAATCATCAGGAGAACATAGGAAGCCGCCGAACTACCGCAATCCAGAGAGGAAAGGTTTCATAAGCACAGGATAGAACTGTTCACACCAACGCGTTGTAGATCCAAACTTTCACAATCTGACCAACATCAAAAATATTCTAATCTGGAAAGTGCCATTCCAGCCTACACTACACGTTGACTGATTTCGTATGATTTCGATTATCATTACTTTCGTTAGATTATTTTTTTAGGTTAGTTTTTTTCTTTACTATATTTCCACTTAAGCGATCATTAATTACAAAGAAAAAAAATAAAAACTCTTAATCATTATCTAATTAAATTACACCGTAACTTTATATAACTTTTAAATAGATAACATTTCTATTTACAACCATTTGTAATACAAACTATTTAGTGTTTAGATATCTTTTATTCAGAAAACCGAATCAAAAGTAAAAGAAAGTTTTTTAAATCACACTTCAAAAAATATTACGAAGTCATTCTTTCTAGATGAATGTAAGATGGACGAAAAAAGTTACAAGTTCTAAGCCTAAACACGTTATAAATAATGGAAAATCGGTCAACGTAAGTAGGTATTTTTACTTGTTGATGACACTAAATAGTTTTCCAAATACTTAGAAAACTCCGCTTCAATCCCCACTGATAAGTAAGATGTCAAACTGAAGAAAAATGTATTCAATCGACAGCTAAGTACGTTATGTTACGTTACTTACAACTAAAAGGCGACCTGATTGAATATCTGAGCTACCTGTCCCTGCCATCTAGATATTTCAACAAGTTATCTGTTTCCTTGTTTATTTTAACAAATCATTATGTTAATTAATTTCATAAACTGTTCAGGTGAGTCGGTGAAAAGTTTACAACCTTTCTCTGTACAAGTTACAAAAATTTACAATCAGAAACATCGTGATGGTTGGCAATATGGATTGAAAAGAATGAACATTATTCAGATATCGACTTTGAAATGGTGATATCTAACTGGCGGTCACTCAATATTTATCATAAATATCGATCAAGAAATAAGAAACGGAAATTCTCTAAAATACATTGTGCTGGGAATTCTATATTGTACCAAAAATATAATGTTGAATAAACCTAATAATAATAATAATAATAATAATAATAATAATAATAATAATAATAATAATAATAATAATAATAATTGATTTGAAAACTTAATGTTATAACGAGACGAGTGTTGTAAAAGTTGGAAATTTCGGAACCAGTTTTCGAATGATTGTTATTCATACTCTTGTCTAGCTGTATTGTTGCACTTCTAAATTCCTTTTACTATAAGCTTTTAGTGGACCTTTTAACGCTCGTCATACGTTTACCATTTCCTAATTATTACGGAATAGTTATCCACTGTTTGCTGCGCTTTGCTGTCACGTGTGGCTTGATCGTACTTAATGTATGTTTAGTGTAATGTTAGTTGAGCGATATATTCGCAATAATTAAAGGAAATTAGTTATAGTTTCAACAATTTTCTATCATTGAACATATTGAGATCTTCAAATGATTTTTGTTATTTAGCACACAAGTAATGGTGTATTCGCCTTGCATATACTAACAAATAAGACTAAGAACATATGTCAGTTTAATACACTTTATTATAAGATAGTTCCCTATCGATTTTAATCAATTAGTAGGTTTGTTCGAGTTTATTTACTTGAATTGATTTGTGTATATGGTAATTTACGAATGTGATTTTACATTTCAAAATTGTATATAATTCAATTTATGCATAAAATATTTCTCCAGACTCGAAAATAATTATCGACCTGGATAATCATTTGTGTATATATAACATAGCAACGCGTAGCTAGTCAGTTCTTTGTTTTGCAATATGTATGAAATCATTTCATATTATGTTTTAGACTAAAACCTGTGTGTTCGAAACATCATCACTACTTCGTTATTGTAAATAAAGTGATAGAAAACTTCGTAACTGTGTATTTATTAATAAGTCATAATTTGATATTCTTTTTCATGACGAAATGACGGATAGTATTTCTCTTACCAAATAAGTGAAAACATAGTCACAGTTAAAATAATGCAGAAACTAAGTTTTACAAAGATGAAACAATTATACATTTTAAAGAGAAGTTGATTATTCAAACAATATAATCCATACTTACATTGTAATAAATTCGTTTAATTTCATTCCATTTAATACGATTAGTTGGAACAATCCAATAATCTGGGAATTGCTAGAACCATAATGTCAAATACAAAATAATTTAATGAAATAATATTTACAGATAACTTTATTTTGAAAACTATCTTACGCACCTTATGATACATTAAATTTATGCTGGGAAGTTTAAAAAGTCCCACAGAAGGAACTAGTAGCCTGGAAGTTGAAAACTGGAGTACTTTAGCTACTAAGCTGGTTTGAACTAATAACCTATTTACTAACTGAAATGGATTAGTGGGTTTATTTGAGAACATTTATCTGTCAAAGAAACTAATTTCATTTGATTAATGCATAAAAATTGTAAATTGTTTAGATTTTTGTAATATTTTAACTCAAAGAAACCTAACCTATGTATACAACAGAAAAATATTCAACAACTTTGTTTACCTTGACACACAATAGGGTCGTTTCAGTCTTGATTGCAATATTTTAGTACATATAAATATTACTTCCCCCTCCGCATCTTTGTGACTAATCCTCCTTTTCGTGATATTTATTTATTTATTATTATTATGTTTACATTAATTTTCCTTATTTAACATGATATTCCTACAAATTACTATTCTTATTATCACCATTTATATTGTTTTCATACCAACTATGTCACAAAAACTCCTAATTAGGAATGTACAGCATAAGTAAGCGATTTCATGGAAAAGATTTTCTTAGTTGAGTTTTCTTGACTCATATTTTGTATTAAATTTTTTTGCATACGACCTTATCTATTAATTAGGACTGAATTTTCCATAACTTTTAACGACTTTATTAAGTGATTCAATAAATCTCCTATATTCTATGTTTGGAAACATCTAATGTTTGGTAAATTTGTTCGTTTTTTTCTATTTTATGACAGGCTACTGCATGCAAAATTATGAACGATTATGATTGTATGACATAAGAAATTGAAATCACAGATGAGAAAGTTTTCTTCACTGAGAAGTCTTCCGTTTCTTAATGATTGAATGAAGTTTTTTCTTTATTTAGTAAATTATTTGACAATTTATGCCGATTACCTTACTACATATTTTCAAGTGCATTCTACACAGAATATAAATTAGTAAGGTTTATAATATATCCTGAATTCATAAGATGAAACGTATTCAAACTTTCTATCTTATTTTTGAAGAGTACAATAATTACACTAACAAGCTATTATTGAAGTGAATGGGTAATTTTAATATGCTTTATGAGAGAGAATAACAACACCGCACAGATTTCAAATTTATTACTTTTTTTTGAAAAAAATGATGGCTCATTAAATAATGATCAAGGTGAAATTATACGATCACAATGTTCGATACTCGAGAGATGAGCGTCAAACTGTGATGTCCTTAATTCATCAAACTATGGATTGATTTATATTCACATAAAAAGATACAGATGTAAGCAATTTGAATGATAATTATCAATGATGTTTTGATATTTACAATAAATATCTGAATAACATTAATAAAATAATTGATGTTAAAAAAATGTTCTAAACATTACAGTATTCTATATTACCATTTTTTGATTGATGTAAATTCAATCTGGAGAAAATCTGATGGTGAACTTTTCCTTTACTATGTTAGTTTATACTTATTGGATAAGCAGTGGATAAAGTACGAGTTGATAACTCAGCCGTATAGTACGTTACAACTAAAAGTCAGGGTTCTAAAGACTGATATCGATTTTCTGACTTTTAAATAAATAATTCTGATAGAAATGTTCAATAGATAATTAATAATATAATAATTTTTGAAGAGATTACAGCATAAATGAATTGAATGCAACAGGTAATTACTTTGTTTTCATCACCTGATATAATGTAACTCCTTGTGGACTGATACCAATCCATACAGAGAAGCGGCATTTGTGAGTAGGTTTCTCAAGTGGATATAAATGTAAATTGAAATCAGAGTTCAATTTTGTTGCCAGATGAATAAAATGAAACTCAGCCAGATAGCTTACAGTATTATGAAGCGCTGAATGATGTTTATAAGTGTAATAGGCTAGTTCAACACTATCACACGATTTAAGAAACTAAATTTTACAAACAATCAAACACATATTAGATAATTTAGGAGTATATAAAATCATAAAATATATAGTGTTGAGAAACTTAACACCATTCCGTTTGATAATCTCTTTTGATCTGAACACGATAGACATAAAAGTATTGTCTTAGAAAATCATTAATGCGTACAACAAATACCTATTACTTAACTTATCAGTGTGATTCTAAGGCAATTAGTCCACTGTATAATTAAATTTTGTATACTGAAGGAATAACCAATACTGACTGTTATCAAACCCTTGGGCACTTACATGTAGAAAAGGCAACATGAAAGTAGTTACTATCATTTTACTATGCACACTAGATCATGTCTGAAAAGCGTTCAAATATACTACGAATAAGTACGGCAATGAAATTAAGCACTAAACGATTATCAGCTGGATAGAGTCCCATTTTAGTTTAACTGAAAATATAAGCTTCATTACAAGTATATATGTCATTACTACTAGATACTCATGATTTCAGCATATCGATAGCCGTAAAAGTAAATTCAATATGGTAGTATTTCGTTTGATAGAATCTAATTGAAGAAATACAAATGCTTCAGGAAAAGTAAAACTTCTGCATTCTTAAGCAAACACCTACTTACTAACGTTCTTCAGGTGAATCCAGATAACTAGGGTGGTTGACAAATTTGAGAATACTGTTTATCTCCACCACAGTAAATTAAATTTATTAAAAAGCGTTTTATTGACGATTCATGCATCACATTCTCGCTTAAGTAGATTCTAAAAGCCTAGAATATATCAAATACTGTATGAGGATAAGTCATTAAATTTCTGATTCGAAATGTTTATTCATGCCTTTTCAGTTTACTTTTCAAAAAACATTGTGTTCAGGCCGTTTAACCTCCTTACTAGTACATTAGTCAAACTACTCTATCCACACATAATTTACATCTTATGTCTTCTAATTTTCTATGTCTCGCAGTCCTAAAAGTAATCGAGCGCGTTGTGACTAAAACTAACATAAAAATAATCATACTATGATAACAAACAAGGGGGCGATGAAAATAAGAGTAAAAGTGAAAATTTAGATGTTTTCCCTTTCTTGACATTAGAGAAAAGAATCTCTCAAAGTTCTTCAGAAGAATGGTTTATGGAAAAACAACTTCATTTTCAAAATCAAGCGCAACGTTTAGATTCATCTTAAAACTTGAAATTTTTATCATTTTCATTGCTAGACTATGTATTATGATTATGATACTTCATTTTTAGTTACATACATATGCTTCAAGTATCTTAATAGACTCCTGAAAATCAGTTTTGTATAGTATTGCATAAGTCACTAAAGAAGAAAATTCTAAGACACCAAACCAAAACACTGCATAACATATAATCAATAGATTTAATTAGAACACTGAAGAGTAAATAGTTTAGATAATGAGAAAATTAACGAAGCAATTAAATAATGCCACATCTTACTTCTACAAAACGTGTTTATTGGTACAAAAGTAGGTTGAAAAAAGATAGTGACCAAAATAACACATAGCACCAGTTCATAAATTCAATAAATATTGGTCTGAGCCATGCTGAAAGGTACAAACTATTCAATTATGGTTCGTTATAATCGCAAACAATCATTGAAGACTTTGAATGACATGTCCTAAACTCATCCAAAATGGCTCACACTTATCCGTTGTTTATCTTTCAATCTTGACGTACGGTATTCCTTTGATCTTACCTTTTCACTCTGTCTTTTCTAAACGTATTCCCGATGTTTAGCTTTCTTCTTTATCATTGTTAATGAACAATTTTGAAATCATTTGTTATTCATCTTGTCGTGCTAATATGGTATGGCAACTTGAGCCAACATTCATCTATGACAGGCTCTATGTTTACGATATCTCTCTGTAATGCTAATATTAATATACTTGTCATTATTTATAAAATGATATTAGTACTCAGTAATGATCATCTTATTAAATGGAATCAACGATGTTTAATACTTCGAAAGTTATGAAATGTCCATTACTTGCTTGTTATCAACAAACTTTCAACTCTAGACGTTTACGGTGAACTTTATTCTATACTACAATTAGTGTCCTTTTTTCCAGACAATAGTTGAAATGTTGGTTAAGCATGTAACATATTTACTACAATTTCTGTATTGAGGATTCTTGATAAGTAATTCGAAGGTACTTTTAGTCTATAATATAAGTGTATCACACTTTATGACAGATTTTCTAATCAATAGGGTTTCAAAAATAAACGTAATTTACAATTATATGCGTAATATTTAAATTGTATGGCTTTAATCTAAATAATCTTCATTCACAGATACTATCAATTAAACTTGAAATAATACGATATTCACTCATTTTCTTAGTCTTCTCAACTCATTATTACATAATAAGACTGAATGCCTAAACATACGTTTTCGGGTAGAACCAATTTAATATAAGCAGTCGAGTAGTTGGATATTATCTGAAAAAATCAATGTGTGATTTAAATCCTTTGATAAAGACTGTTTTGTTCATTCAAGTAGGAATTATCTAACTACTCATAATTTTCCTTGTTTTACCTACTATGTGTTTATTTCCGAAACGTTAAGTATTTATCAGCTAAGTAGTCGGTCTACAAAGCTATTCTGTTTTATAGAAACTGAATATACAGTTCACTGTAAGTGCTAAAGATCTGGAAATATCTTGCAGGTGGTTTTTGAATCGAGTAGTGTATTAGTAGTAAGTGTCTACATCCAATAGGATACGAATTTCATCTTCAATCCAGACGTAAGCCTTTCACACCAATGTTGCATGATTTGAATAATGAGTTACCTTAATCGCACATACAGTTGACCAATGAAAGGTATATTTACCAGTCATTGAATATTAACCAGTATAATTTCATTCAGTTTTTACTACTAGCCGACTCCTAATGATCAACGTTGATTAGTAACAAGATATAACACAGTCTACACCATAGTATCAGACTGCTGAAATTACACTACTCTGCAACTTGATTTTAGCTAAGTAGAAACGTCTTCTAATTTGTCATCAGGATATTTAGGTTCACTTATTGCAAGCTGAGCTTGCTGTTATCCCACTAATAGACAGGGAACTTAGACTAGTTGAATGTTTTAATTGACGATAATTAGTGTTTATTTGTCAAAACAGTAGAAAAAATAATTCAGCTTACTTTCTTAGGATAATAAAGTTCTGGTAGGAAATAGGATGTTTCAGATTCTGGATTAAAACATTTTGGTGCATCACCCAATTCAGCCTGTAGTGCAAACGCTGCTAACTGAAAATATACATTTGGATCACAAAATATTTCATAGGCAACATGATTTTTTCGTAGTTGTAAATAATAAATATGTTGTGTTGCACGTTCATTTATACAATGTATCGGAAGATAAAATCGGATGCGAAAATATACAGTTGGATATGATGATTGTAATGAACAATGATATATTGACTTATTTATCGGTAGAGACAAAATACCCTGTTGAAATCAAATAAACAATAAAACAAATTCATTCTAACCTTTATTTTCAAAGAAATCTTTGGTATTCAAAGTATTTTTTATGTATGCACTTTAAAGATTTAATTTAAGCTTAGGCTTTCTTGTTCTATCATATGTGTACAGAATTTATATGAAACATTAAGTCTAATTCCTCATATTAATGGTAAATTTTAATTGTATAAATCAATGAATAACTCAATTTAAATTAAAACAATAAAAAATTGAGTAACTCATATGGTAGAAAGATGTCAATAGAGTCAAATGAAGTAAATAGAAAAAAAACAGGCAACTATTCTGTTTGAAATAGAATAATGTACACGTTTTATGGAAGTTATCTTATTTGATCATATAGGCAAAATTAATACAAAATTTAGGTAAATGTTTTATGCACATTGAATACTAAACAGCTATCAGAGTATTTATTTATGCCCCTGATAATAATAATTACAAAAATCCTTTGGAAAGAACAAGGTAAAAGTCTTGAGCAAAATGACATAAATTTATTTTATTTCACTATGTTCTTGTCAGCTGCTCACAATTTGTGATATTTAAGAATTATAAGCTTTGTACAATCAATTAACAGAGGGCTTTGATCAAAACATTTACTCATTGAGTTAATAAGTTATGTACCACTGAAAAACTAGAATAAAAATGATTAACATTTGAAAGTGCCTTATAGATAACTGCTATGCAAAGGAATGTATTAATAAACACAACATACATAAAAACAGCCGATCAGATGTAGCTACAGCAAATAAAAACCAATATTTATCCACTTCAACTTCAGATATGATAAATTTACAAGGGTACGAAGTAGGAGGTCCAAGACAGCATTAGCCAGAACCTAACATGAAGTCAAACTATTAATGATGTGTAAAAAACATGTTGAGCTATTTGATGAAACGTTATCACTGGCTGCGTCTATAAATTTACATTTACCTCCTAAAACAATTACAATGGCTAAACAGAAAGGATACCACATCCCATAGAGCTCTTATTCAAGAGAATGGAATATAACAAATATACACCAAACACCACTAGATATCTCTTGAACATAGGACACCAAGTCGATACTCTAAAACTTTTCAGTGTTTATTAAAAAGTTAAGCTCCGATCTTCTGAAGTTTCCTGGGGCAATTACTATCATGTGTTAGAAACCAGAAAAGAGAAAATTATCAAACTTTATTCACCTCTGTGATAAGGACATTTCTTTGTTACAGTTTGAAATTTTATTTAACTCGTTTTTTGATTTATGGAATCATTATATCTATTTCCGAATCTCTTCTTCGTCGGTACTTTCCTTCCATATAACTCTTTGATCTTTTGTATTTATACATTGTTTCTCTACATAAGATATTTATTTACAATATTTACTTAGTCTCTTAAATTTATTTACATCTTTGCTAAGCGATACTGTTGTATTTTTAAAACAATCATCAGTAATTTTAACCGCGGTTTTTAAATACTACGGGTTGTAGACAGCTGATGAGGCTGTGATTAAATTAAACGACTTCAAACAGAGATGGATGGTTGCTAACAGTCGAACCCAAGACCATTGTTTTGTTTCATTTGGGGCTCGTCACATGGATGTATCTGCATTTCAGAGTTTATGATCACCACAGGACTCGAACCCAATGCCTTTCGCTTCATATGCCATCGCGTTATTTACTTAGCTACTGAGTCATGATAGCCACTGACCTAAGCAATAAGCTGAAACTTAATTTAAATTGATAAGAAAAACTCACTTTATTGCACAAGTCAATGGCTATCATGACTCAGTAGCTAAATGAATAACGCAATGGCATATGAAGCAAAAGGCATTGGGTTCGAGTCCTGTGGTGATCATAAACTCTGGAATGCAGATACATCCAGGTGACGAGTTCCAAACAGGACTAAAAGGATATACTAAAGCTATTGTTTAAACTTAACTACATCAGTTATTGACGCATTCAAAATGTAGTAATTAATCCCTAATGTATCTGCTTTATTTACTGACTATCATCTACCTAATTATCACCTTTTATCTACACTTTATAACAAATTATGATACCAGTTCATAGTAACTTAGGCTTTGCGAGTAATTAAAAAGGATGTAGAATTTTCAGTAAGAATTACAAGTGAAACTAGGTTATTTATTGTATTTTGGCAAATGCAGTTAAATCGACTGAGATTATTAGTTATATACATTCATCTAGTTATTTATTTATTTATTATTAACTACTGCCTAGTTCCGTATATTAAAACTTACCTATTGACCAGATAACTAAATGACTTATAACGCAGTGAATCTGGACAGAACCTATGAATACGGTGCTGTATGTGTCATGCATTTATTTTGTGGGGTTAACAAAACCTTAACTGCAGTCTTACTTCCTTCCTTACATTGAGTGATATGGATCTTTGTCTGGTTACAGAGTGCCAAACAAACATTTGTCTAGATAACCAATGAGACACCAGTTAGCACGTTACATAATATGTGACATATGATTAATGGGTGGACACAGTACCGACGTTTTTAAGCAATTTTGTTCGATTTCTGCAAACAAATAACATCTGGGTGATTATGAAAGGACAATTGCTTGACTGTAGGATTATTCTCGGTAAATTTTATACACTCATCTACAGTGAACTTATCTGTATTACTTAGTTATGTGAATAATACATCATAAATAAAACGTCTACTCAATACTACTAGGTGCTCTGTTTTTAGTCAATGAAATCTCAATTTTGAACTACAAGATGGTGAGACAACATTTTTTATAAATTTTATGAAAGCTATCTCAGAAATGCTTATTATGTGATCTGAATGAAACCGTTACCCATGTTTCGTATTTTCCTCAATTCACTTTTCTTTGAATTTAGCTAAATGTTATTTAGTGAAGACTTTTAATTATATTGTTTCCAACAAAACTATCATCAATTCACTCTAGCTATCTGGCCTCTGAATATCTGCAACTGACTGCCAGTACAATACATAATAGAAAATAAGATACTGTAGAAGCTAATTTTATAATTCTTTTTAAATGCTAGTTTATATCGTAAGAAAAATTAGCCATTAGATGCCAATATGCTATCTGATTTCCTAATAGAAAAACCAGGTATATTTGTGGTGTAGTTTTCATATGATGATTTTATCTAAGATAACTAGTTTTAGCTTGTACCGTTTTATACACAAGTTAAAAATAATTACTAGTCAAGAGATTTTAGCTAAACTCAATGTAAGATGTGGGTGCTCTTACTTCTGAATAAAATCCTCCTCCTACATAAAGAAACCTGGGATAACGTTTTATTTTTTTATAATATTCAGAAAAATTAAAACAGTTTTTATCATGGATAGAATAGATAATATTTGCCAGATTTTCTATATTTTTCCAATGGAACCCAAATCAATCCACATAAATTCACTGACGAAGTACTTATTTGGTTGGGAATAAGTTCACTGTGTTTGATGGTTGAAACCAGTTTAAAAAGTTAGATGACATAGTGAACCGAATGGTTTTCTGTATTAATCTGTTAAGTTTATTTTAGAACTGGACACGATTGCGGTTTGTAAAAGCAGTTTGCCAATGTAGATACTTTAGTTGAAAATGAACAATTATTATTTTTTTGAATTCAAAATGCAATACGTTTGTCTGTGTCCACCTAATTCGGTTTGACTTAAATTGCATTAATTTAATGTTTCCTACTTTGTATAATAATCCAAACACTTCTAACTACCAAATTGTCATCCCGATAAATCCTGTAATGGAACAGTTTGATATATATTCAAATTTTGATGCTTTTGAGGATTATAAAGAAAGGTTTGAAATCTGAACAGCAATCAGAAAGAATTTTGAAGATGTTCATGTTGTATCTCATTTCCTTACATTCATTGAAAAAGAAGCTTACAGCTTACTAAAAACTTTGGCACTTTCACATCTCTAAGCAACTCTCAAGGAACTACTACTAGACCACGTAAATTTTACACATTCATGGTGCCGCGAAGAAGTAGAAGTCCATAAAACGATTCATCAGAGCGCCAAGAATTCCATTTCATTACCACGTCATTCCGATACGGTACGTACTTAAGGTTATGCAGGTGAAAATCATTCGGGAGTTATTAAGTAGGTTACGAAGATGAGCTCGAGTTTAGTAAGTATTTGTTATGTAGAAAACTTCACTCGCGTAATTTGTATGAAAGTAATGATTTTCATTTCGCAATGCTGAATGGGTACGTGACAGCACACACATCAATTTTTGGTTCTTCGAAAAGTAAATCGAAAATATTAGTATATACAGGATTTTTTACTTTGCAGGGAGAGGGATTCAATGCAGTACTAGTATGCTCACAGCCAGGGCATTGTTTCGCAGAACAAACGAAACAATATCGTATCCACAGTATATGACTTCACTGATCTTTCAGTTGCACTCATAGAATCCTACGCTGCATTGAAGGGGATAATAGTTGTTGTCGAATTGGGATTACCAATTGTAGCGTGGCGTCGAGTTGAGATTAACTATGAACACCGCTACCAAGATATACGTGCCAAATAGATCAGAAGGCGTAAGAAGCTCGTTCCAAATGACTCCATAAAATCCCCGAGAAGCCGAATACCAGAAGGCAATTAATGGACCAAGTCGATGTTTATTTGCTGGCGATCTCGTGGCATCGAAAGGATACCGAGATCGTGCCAGGATACAATCTTGGTTACAGAACGTAACCGAATTCGCGCGAAGTTACAATCAAAGAGTAAGTAAGAGAATGGAAGAACAAAATAGCTGTCATTAGCACAGTCAAACAAAAGCACATTAAAACAGTCACTGGTACACTTGGTTATAATAATAATTGTTTTTATTAAACCAGTCGTGTTCTCGTGATAAATGTGAGTCACTACAGGAGCCCCCCGCTAGAAAGGGTTTACACTTTCGATAAATAGCGGTTTGAATCGTGGGACTGATCGGCTGACGAGCGATTGTAGGACGGAAAGATTGGCGAACAGGAAAGCGATCGTTGATCGTCGAGTTGCCAACGAAGGTCGTTTTCGGAGAACAGTACCAGGAGCGATGTGTTGTATTGATTGCTCGAGTTGGCATGCTACACGAGAGTGGTTTGTATCCAGAATCTGAAGAGGGCGTTCGTAGGGAATGGGGACCAGGAACGCTGCAGACGAAGGACGAAACCACGTTGAGCCAAAAGACCAGAAGCGACCGTAACGACCAAGTTCGAGACCAAGCGTGTGCCAAGCGTTCGAAACCAATATATCGACTGAGTGCGTTGACAAGAGCATGGGTGGCCAATCCAGCTTTCGCCAAAGTTGACTGAAGTCGACGGAACCAAACGGAGATGGTCGAAGGCGTGGGCTTGAATTGGCTTCTTTGGAAGATTTGACCAGAAGCTGAGGCGTGTTCCAAAATACGGGTCACCAATTGTTGTCGAATTGGGATTACCAATTGTAGCGTGGCGTCGAGTTGAGATTAACTATGAACACCGCTACCAAGATATACGTGCCAAATAGATCAGAAGGCGTAAGAAGCTCGTTCCAAATGACTCCATAAAATCCCCGAGAAGCCGAATACCAGAAGGCAATTAATGGACCAAGTCGATGTTTATTTGCTGGCGATCTCGTGGCATCGAAAGGATACCGAGATCGTGCCAGGATACAATCTTGGTTACAGAACGTAACCGAATTCGCGCGAAGTTACAATCAAAGAGTAAGTAAGAGAATGGAAGAACAAAATAGCTGTCATTAGCACAGTCAAACAAAAGCACATTAAAACAGTCACTGGTACACTTGGTTATAATAATAATTGTTTTTATTAAACCAGTCGTGTTCTCGTGATAAATGTGAGTCACTACATAGTTATTACGTTAGTCGCACTGTGTTTTTATTCTTTGTACCAGTTTGGAAAACGATTCTATATCGATTACTAAAGTTCAATAATGAACTCGTTGGAATAAAGATTTGAAAAATTCAAGTACTTACGGCGGAACACTTTTGATCAGTTGTCGCGAAATAATTGGTTATTATCCTGTGCATAAACTCACTAGGTTCTAAAAATAGCCAACCCTCGTCTACAAAATAACAGTCAGAGTACAATCCACCATTTCATACCATTACAAAGCATTGCAAGGCCAAATATATCACGCTCGTGCAGATCCATAGAAGAACATACGTCATGGAAGATATCTTCAACAAGAGTATCCTTGGTGAAGTTATAGCAAATCTCCTTATTATTCAAAAGGACAACCTTTATATTATTATTACAAGGATGTTTTGGGCAGCAACGAAACTTAGACATCAATATTATATAAGAAGACAAACGTATGCGATAACAAATTGTTGGGTTTGATTTATGTGCGAAACGACACTGGTCCAATTTCAATACCTATGTATCATTCAATAAACAATAACATTTTGATGAACTAGCAGAGAAGGAATGATTTCTTCATTTCCTTCGATCCGGAGTTCAGTTAACCCAGATAAAAGACTGTTGAATGAAGCTTTGTTGAGGATATTAATGAAGTCATTGATGGCTGGATATGTATGGAGCATTTCATTATAAAGTGCACACAACTTTCAAAGCCTAAAAACAGGTCTGATAAAAAGGACTAACTCATTTAAGCACCGTACGTCCCTTCAGAAAAAATCTAGTTTTCGTCCGGGTGTTAAAGCGGAATCCTAGCGATATTTTCTGGTATCTTAACGATCATCCGGTTATGCTTTGTAGCGGTAAATAAATCCCCAAAATAAATAGCACTAAGTTTTCGACATTGGATGCTGACCATATGTTTTAGTGGACTCATCTAACTGAAGGCGCTCGGTCAGGCATCCGCACCAGATCACGTGTGGTAACGCCGTGCTCAACATCAACCGCAATCGCTAGCCAGATTAGATCAGTCGGTCCTCGATAAATTGATAACCTGTCAATTATATCTTCGAACCTCCTCACTTCTGTCATTCGATGGGTACGATTATTGTAAGAAGGTGTTACTGGTTAAAGCGTTGTCAAACTCCAAATACCTGTGGCATCTTCAGTCTAATAGCTGCCTTCTTGCTCAAACTTACAAGGATACCACCAGTTATTTTTGCAATCTGTGTTAAAATACAAATTGACTGAAATATGCTTAGTGAGTCCGCAATAAAATTTGCTCTCTGCTTTGTGAATCTACTGAGTATTCTCATACATTTACATTTACCTGACAGACCAAAGACATCAATTTCTTTAGCGGACACATTGTTTAGAATGAGGATGAGTATATGTATATAAACCACAGGAAGGTGAGTGTTTAAACTAAATACATTACTAAAGTGATCATAAGGTGCCTGAGTTTTATTTTAATAGCTTTCCGACAAGGACGAAGTATAACTTTCTCCACATAATGCTGATAGGCCGTTTCTCTCACTAACCAATCTAAGGGTCTTGGGAATTGTATAGAACCTGTTTACAAGCTTTTCTCCAAATAATTTAAAGAATTGCATAGGAACAGAGCAAAAATATTTTTGGTTTTCGGTATGATGATTTCGCCTCATTAGCACTCTCTAACCTGAAAAATTCCTGAAAATTTTTTTCTATGAGTAAGGGTACGAACCTGGTAATTGGATGCCTTGGTGTAACGGAAGCTACCTGTGCTGTCGTGGCCTTTACGTACAGACTCCAAAATACCTCGAAGCCATCTGGATAAAAAATTTTTACTCTATATACAACCTACTGAGAACGCCGAGTAATTTTCTCATAACTGATCTTCAAACGTTTCGTCTGACATCAGCCGTTATAGGTGTTGGCAACATGTGAATCAAAAGCCAGAAGAGTATGGTCACTCTTGTCTAGAGGTGACATAATCTGGGTTTATGCCGTCGCCCTCACAATGGCATCATCGAATATCAAGACCCCACCACCCTTAAATTCAAAATACTAAGGTCATTTTCACCGGTATCTAATCTTAGTTTCAGTTCTTTTCAGATTCGATCTTATACTATCAACTAAAGGCGTTTACCAGTAAATACTCCTGATTCCATCAGTTCGTCCATTTTGTAATACCACGCCATGTATATCAAGAGAAACGTGTGCCACTTTCAAAAGCCAACTCGGTTCTTTGTCATGTCCCTATGATTATCTGGCTTATGAACCTATGATCGACTGAACACAATGGCATATTATCTTTATTTTAATTAACACTTTTGTCAACATAATGTCAAGATTGAAGCGATTAAACAGAACTTTCATCATGATTATGAAAGTTGACTGTATCATCAAAATTGATGTACCTACCGATTTTTAACTACTGTTAAAGCGATCGGCTTTTATGACACTAGATCGTTCCTTGCTCTTCATGCATGTATGTAATTAGCTCTCACTGGATTGGCTGTCCTACTCATGGTACTCGCACCGCGAGATCCTGAAGGACTTTAAAAGGATTGAGTGGACAGACGAAGAATTCTGTTGTTTTTATAGCTATACAATCGGTACATCTGGGCGTTTCCTGACTGCTGCAACTTAAAGGTCAAAGCACAGAAGAAAATTGCCTTCCAGAGTTCTTATTGCTGACCGTAAATTCAACTGCACAAGGGAAGTCACCAGTCTTTTCAAATACATGAAGGAAATGATTTTTCAGGTATACAAATATGACTAGGAAAACGAAGAGTATGGTGCCAGAAAATGGAGACTGTTCTTAAATCAAGGAATTTACTTAAAAGCGACATCCTTCTCACATCCAAGTAATAATGAATAAATTGATACATATACATATAAAACCGATAAAAGGTACGCGTTATGCGGTTGATCATTTACGGCTACAAAAATAAGCCTGTAGAATAAAACTAGCACAATATGAACTGTATCAGTGTGACACTTCCGGGAGTAAATAAATACCTGAAATAAAGTTTAGGAAGTTTTTGATATTGAAGCAGCCGCACAACATCACGTACTTCGGCAGCTAGTTAGTCTAGATCATATACTCCTTTGTCTTTCCTGTATTATGTTGAGTCAATATGCATGTACGTGAAGAAACCTACAAGTGTATATTTACGTCTCTCTCACCATGTGCAATGTTATTGCTCCATCTATTGGTGAATCCTTTGGTTCATCTGACATTAATCTATCATAGTTTACGTTCTCACTTTTCTTGACTCTAAATTTTGATGACTGCTAGGTTTTGATTTAATCGATCGTATATCCTAGTAACTGCCATAATGTTAATTCCGAGAATTTCAGGTTCAACCGATGAATATCGAGTGCCCTTCATAAAGTTCAGCGAATGAAACTCTAAGCGTCACTAAGGGTTCATATCGATGATCAAGGACTTTCTACTGAATGGATTACATAACATTTGTTGCCGTATTGAGATTCGATAATGTGGAATACCTGGCCTGACCTTCGTAATCTAGCTAGATCTTAACTTTAAAGGATCGCCTTCTATAGGAAATCACGAGGTTCGTAAGCATACTAGGGTTTGATTGGAAGTCGTGAGTCTCAACTGACTGTTTACTTATTGTTGAGTTTAATGTTTAGTTAGACAGACTGTTTTAAACAGAATGCACAAACTACAACATCAATGTCAAATAATTAATATGGTACAAATGCATGCTATAATATTACGGCAAAAGAACATCGCTGTCATACATGCTGACAGTCGTGTGAACGTCCGTCTAGGTAATAGTTTAACAGTTGGAGTAAGCAAAAATTATTTAAAGACTATAGTGGAGTTCGTGGGAGACTAAGTCATTTAGATATTTCCCGACCCGTATTGCACATATCTAAATAGGAGACGAAATTAACACGACATACGTAAAGTGACTTCTGATGTGATGAGTCTACCACGGTTCTGGAGAGCATAAATGAATACGACTTACACGAGAATATGTAACTGCATGTAAAATGATTTGCTATGCTTAAATGAAGTAATGCAAAATCAGCAATTATTATATGCACGTGTATACTATCACCGAACGTTCGGCTTTTATTTATTACGTCATAGGTTTGTCAATGGAGTAGTCCCATTAGCTTTCACAAAATAGGAACTCTTTAAATAGAAGTCTGCAACCTATGTAGACAACTTTCATTACAAAGTCTGGCACTTAATACAGTGATGTGTATAATGATATTGAATGGACGGGAATATACTATCCCAATTGGTAAACATGAAATTTAAAAATATTCGATAACACGATTTTCTTGACCAGCGTTCTCATTGTTTACGACCCAATTTGGATGAAGATAGCAGTAGTAAGAAAGGAAACATGAAATGTAGACGAGTTGTCTGGTCGAAACTTTTTTTCCATTTCTATAATATTCAGTAAGATGCTCGTAGTTTGTCAACCGAGAAGTATAAGCAAAAAGCAGTTGAAAAGACCAATAGTTTCTTAAAGAACAAACACACACACGAAGGACAATGACATGAACATGATAGACTGTTACTAGTTTTAAATAAAAGTGAAGGTCAAATGGTATAACATAATCTGCTGTACAAAAAGAGAAAGGTAGCAAGTAGTTCTTTTAGAACTTAACTCACACAACTGTTTGGAACGCAGTGCATCAGTAACGTTAACTTGAAACAATAACAGAATTGTCATATACATCTTAATTTTTGGGAAAAAAGCAACACTTTCCCCAAAATAAATGGGCGACGTTTACTTAGGACACATAATGATAAGTGGCAGCGTTACTTGAGTCTCTTTTCATATAATCTCGTTCAATTAAATTTTCGATACGTTTCTTCACATCACTTGCCTACATATATACAAATGGAAAAAAAATCAGTAATAAAAAACTATCCAAGGTAAACAAACCATGAAGTGTGGTTTTGAAAAATTAAATAAAAGGATGCTATTTGTACATGTATCAGTTACAGGATGATAATAACCAAAACTGTATCCCACTATTGCCTTTACCATTGTTATTCTGTCAAAAAGTCAATAAGTGTTATGCATCCTTGAAGAACACGACCTACACAAAATATAGAACCCACATCTTATGAAGCAAAAAATTAGATCTCATAAAACCCCGCCTATTCGTTATAAATATTTGGTTTTAGGGATATAAATTGAAAGTACATAATAGAAAGCAGTCCATAGAAAAAAAAAAGAATACTCACTCAGTCATGGTATGGGTCAACAGTAAAAGCACGGTTGAAAGTTACTTCCAAATAATTCCTGATCGATTGTACATTTGTGCGAATTTGGAAAAGGATTCGTATTCATACTGATTAATTTAGTAACTAAGTTAAGTTTATAAAACCCATACTTAAATATTCTCTAATTTTTGTTGATTTTCAAGTCGCTGAAATGAAACCATTTTAAAGC